GATGAGCTAGAGACTTGAAATTTGAAACATAGCTCACAAATGGATGACAATGCAATATTATATCGTTTAATTTTCACATTTCCCACGGGATACGCCCCATGGGCTTTCACATTTTCCATGTTTACATTTTAAAAGAATGTAAACATATCAATTCATTTAAGTCAGCTGTGAATACTTAAATTTGACAGTTCGAAGAGCAAAGGTTAAGAGGTACAGGTTCTGCTCCAGATATATTCTAAAAATATAAAACAAGCATTTTAAAGTAAAGATAAAACATATGATTAGAGATAATAAGGTTTTGGTTTGTTGTATTAATAGTCAAAGGTTATATATTAACAGGCCATATAAAATATAGTTAACATATTTACACATTAAAGACTAAAAAGTTGAAAATAATTTATAAATAAAAAACTTTTTTAAAACAAAACGTTTTTAAACGCACTAAAAAGTAGAAAATAATTTATAAATATGTTGAGAGTATAAACACTTGTAAGATTTAAAACGAAAAACGTTGGGTGCATGCAATTAATTGATAATAATACATTAGTTCAATAAGTGAAGGTAATTGTAAATTATCTATTGCATGCACCCCACGTTTTTCGTTTTAAATCTTACAAGTATTTATACTCTCAACATATTTATAAAATATTTTATACTTTTTAGTGAGTTTAAAAAACGTTTTGTTTTAAAAGTTTTTTATTTATAAATTACTGGTGGCAGTTTTGATCAGTAGGAGAAGTTTCGGGGTGCATGAAGTGTGTAAAGGCAGGGGCAAACATGGTGAATACATCTTTTTCCAATCCTTAGGAAATATGAGTCTCGGTTTAAGAATTACACAAGAATGTCGACTACAACGTTCGATTACATATTTAGTTTGGTGAAGGATGATTGAGAGAAGCTGACAACTAATTGGAGGGGACCAATTGGTGCAGAAAAGAGACTAATATTGACTTTAAAGCGTGTCTGCAGTCGAATGCGCTCCAATACGCTCTGAGAAAAACAAAATAGTTTGTTCCTCGGTCGTACGCTGCGCTACGCTACGCCGAAATACGCTACTAGTATGTCATACCTCATTTCAACGCACAGTTTTGATTTAAAACATGCGCTGTCTGTATGTTTTTACACTTAAAGATGTCAGAGGAAAGAATCCATAAAATATTTGCTACGACATATGTATACTGAAAAACTTAGCCTATACAAAAGTTAAAATAGGCTCATTTTGTTTGCACATGCCGTGTCTGGATTTTTGGGGATTGGAAATAAAAGCTATTGCACTAATTAAAGCAAGTGAAAAGGCAAAACAAGCAGCAGAACCGTTTTTTTATGCAAGTACCACACAATACACCATAGCCTTGAATGGAAAAGGGTTTGTTCTGATGATGTATGGGCTTAGTAAGTTCTCCAGCTTAAACAAAAGCATGGTATTTTAGTTTTACGCGAACTTTTAAAAATGCATCATTAAGTCAGACATTGACTAAGTCAAGCTCTCCCAACCATCAGAAGAATGCCATCAACCAACACCTCTCTAGAGTCTACTTACAAGCGCAAAGTTGGTTGGAAAACAAACTTACACCCACTGATTGGGGTTGGATGAAAGAACAATCCAAAAAACTCAAACAAATAAAAAACCTAGGACCCGTCATAAGAAAGAAACCTATAGATCCTGATAGCCTATGATCAGGTATCATGTTCATGCAAGACATGATGTAAAGATTATTGTGGCTGCAGAAAATCTAGCTAAACATTTTCTTTCGTTTGTTAACATTGCAATGGGCTATCATGTTCAAATCCATCGCAATATCATGACGACTTTGATGAGTGGTAGTAAAGATCTGCTATATGATAAGTAATAATTATGCTCAAAACTCTTTCGATAAAATACGGTTTTGTGATTTAAAAACAACGTTGTTTAGTTATTGAACTGTTTTGTCATTGATAATTGTTAGTGTGGATGTTTCATAAGAGTAAAAAATAACATGTATAATAAATTGTGACCCTCGCATGCAACAGCAAATGCACAATATTAATTAACAGTCTGTACATGTACTAAATGAACTACAGAAAGTTAAACATGTTCTATATAAAGAGGTAAATTCAAATATAAGAACCATAATATGTAAATTGTTTTCATTGTTGCCGCACATAAAATAAGAGTCCTGTGAAATCAATTTACTGTACTATCTATATTATCCACTATACGCGAAAAAACTGTTACTAACTATATATCATCTTATAAAGCTTAAATTATGTACTAAAACTTTTACGATAAACATTTTGTCATGCGACTTCATATACAAAATCTACAAGGAAAAGATCCAAAAAATTACCAGTAAAAATTAATATTTTATGTTTATGTCATTTTTGTGACGAAACTATCAACATTTAGGCTTACATAGTAAATACAATTTTTGTAGAAAATTTCATCGCAAAAAGGATAAACAAAAGATTACATTGTTATCTTTACCCGTTTTAAAGTTATAGCCAATTTTCCAAGAAACTGCAAATTTATCTAAAAAGGGGGGTAAGAGGAAAGCTCAAGGGGGAGGAGTGGGGACTTTTGGGAAAATACTCCTCTCAACATGGTCTAACAGCATAGAAAAATCCAGCTTTATTTACCAAAATGAGTTCCGACATAAAACCTATATTGACTGGGCTATTCATACTGGACACTCAACTTGTACAGACATCTTTGATTATTTTCAGAGTTGACACAGTGAACACTGTATATATCCATAGAGGTGTTCGATGTTTTCTTTAAATTGCTAACCATACAACCATATAGTGTGGTACAACAATTAGCTTAGGTTAGTCCAGCATCTTACTGGTAGCTTATTTTTATTATCTGATTTTATCATTCCCAGGTTGAATTTCCAAATAATGCTAAAAATCTTTAAAATTGGTTAAGGTCACGCAGTTGACAGGGATAAGCTCATCACACTCAGTGAATCATTCATGATTTTTATTGCAATTGAGATCTAGTTTGGTTCATCTTGTATTTAATTACCATATAGCCTAGCCAGTCCTAATCAATCTAACCTCTCGCGTGGACGCAACCATTACTGTGTCCATTAACCATCTATTAGGCCTAATTGTAGATGCTGGTAACATAAAAAATGTTCCTTAAAGGCATGCATAGACTAACACTCCCAAAAAGTAGTACATCAGTAACTATATCAACTGATAAACAAGGTCGGACAAGGACTCCATGACCGGCACTCAAAATGGCGAGGATGGGAAAACTGACAATTTTTTTGTGTCACTGATGAAAGAACTAAACAGTATCAATCAATGCCATTATTAATCTTGGAATTAGAAGCTGTCTTTTCATCCTATGGTCATCATACTTGTTCAGAAATGTAATAATCAGAAACTATCCTATATTATTAGCACACAGAACCAATTACTTTTAAGTCATTTAAGTTTTGATACTTCCTATTTATTACACCAGGACTGACCAAATCACTTAAACAGTAGAACTCTAATTATCCAAATCAATTGGGACTGGACCCCATTAGGATAATCAAAAATTCAAATAGTTGGATTTTTACTATAATTCAGAGTAGGTAGGTATTTTTAAGAAATAAGGCCGAGTCATGCTGAGCTTTTACTGTTATCACAGAACGTGTGTGCGACGATTTCACGTTCGGAAAATTTACGATTTCGCCGCGATTGAGGAGTACGATTATGATTTTCTGTGACTAGGAGAGACAATGATGGTGTCAACATGACCGTAGGATATATTTAACATTTTTCCGCTATCGCGAAAAACAATGATGATGTTTCTGTGACTGTGGGAGTCGATGATAGTGTCAACACAGCCGTGGGATATTTGTATCATTTGTATCATTTTGTTGCAATCGCGAAAAACTATGACGATGTTTCCGTGACCACAGTAGACAAATGGTTTCAATTCGGTAAGCAATTCGGATAATCGGCGATTCGGATAGTTGGAGTTTGGATGGTTGGTGTTCTACTGTACTATTGATTGCCATAGGAAAAAGTATATTTTCCTTTGTTGAGGGTGATTAACTATTAGGCTTCTAAATAAAACATTTTATTTAATTCTAAAATTTTAGCCTTAAGAAAAGAATTCTCAGGATATTAAAATTCTTTTTTGTAGGCCTACAATGTTAAAAATAAATGATTTGCATAGAACAATGAGATTAATATCCCTTTAAAAAATTTACAACAAGAAATTTAGTAGAACTAACTAATGACAACCAGAGTCTGTGTCAAACTTGGCTGAGATAGTAGTGAATCAAAGTTAAAAAAAAAACTTATGGTGTGTTATTTAACTACATTGGAACCAATTCTAATACAGTAGACTCCCTCTTATCCGGACACCTTTTAACCGGACATCGGTTTAACCGGACTACACTCAGCAACAATGACATCTCTTTAACCAATAACCAGACAATTTTATCAGCACATCGGTTTAATTGGACTAGATCGGCAGGAAGTGGGCGGTAGGCCTACTGAAATGACTGTTATCGTGGGAAAGATTTAAGACCAGTGATCACGTTTCTAAATACAATGCCTTCCTAAATTTAAGTCAAATAATGTATCCATTATGCAGTTAAAAGGTCCGTTTTAACAAGTTTTTAGGGACGTCGGTTTAACCGGAAAAACCATTATCTAGACTGGGTTCGGTCCCGAGGAGTCCGGATAAGATGGAGTCTACTGTACGAGTTTATGGTTCAACCAGTTCAAACATGGGAGTTATCTAAATGATTGGGAGTTATTTTAATGTGTTTTTTTATTGAATTATAGTTGCTTTAACATATTCTTTCAAAGTAAAAATTATTTGCACTCAGTACTAAATCCATTCTAAAAGATTAGATTTTAGAACAATTACTAGTTAATCTAATAAGGCAATCATCCAACTATCACAAATTAAAGTTACATTTACATGCAGTCAAGCAAAGAGTAAGATGGCATGCAAACGCAAAGTAACCCACTACCAACATTGAGTAGCTAATGATAAACATGAAGATTCAGACCAGAATCACTCCTGTGAGCATAAGCGTTGGCATTCAGACGTCTCAAGCTGATAGAAAGTTTTTGCTTCAAACAACGTTCTTTCATGTCAGTGTAAACAGCTGGGTCTTTGGAACGATCTTCTTTGTGCTTCTTCTTGTGCTTGACTTTGTGTCGGTGCCTTCGATAATGAAGAGCTTCATAAGCGGGTGATGATCCAGGAGAAACCGCTTGGCTAAATTTTCTCCTTGCTTCTTTTTTGGCTTTCTTTAAAGCTTTTTTTGCCGCTTTAGCACTTGCTGTTTTGTGTTTTTCTTCTGGCTCACTTTCACTCAAGTTTTGCACTTTTGATGGGATTTTCAACACAGTACCTTCCCCTTGAGTTCCGAATGATATTTTGATTACAGGCGTAGTCCGTGCTTTTTTTGTAGCTTCAACAAAAACATTTTCATCCCACAAATCTTCCATTGAACCGACACTCCTCTTTTTCCGAAGCACCATTTTCCCTTCTCCATCTTCTTCCTCCCTCAGATAGTCTTCATCTTTGTCCGCTTCTTCTGCTGGACTCATTCTCGCCTCTTCAACCAATGGAGCCGGTTCCACATTGGCTGGAGATGTCGGTGTCGCTGGGTCCAGCCATTCATCACTTGATCTAGTTACAACATTACACTTGGTATTTGACCTAGTAACTACTTTTCCATTAATAGCGTTTGATATTTCATTGGGTTGAAGACGATTTAGTTTTGGAATAAGTGTAGGACGTAAGTTCTTAAGATTTCTCGTTGGTTTGACTTGATTATTTTGATTCTTGTTTTCCGTAAAGGGGGTTGCATTTTTTGCATTCGAGGAATGATCAACATTTTCAGAATTTTCATTACAAATACTACGGCATTTCGAACATAAAACTTGTCTAGGACGCAATCTAACAGTCATTCGAGTAGGTTTTAATCTAGAGGTAGGTTTTGGTTTTGATGTGAATAAATGTGGCAGTAAACCACCATTTATAGTGTTGCTTGGTTTATCTTGAAAATAGGTAAATCTTTGACTAACACTAAAAAGCTTGTCATCTTCTGCATTTTCAGTCTTCTTGTTCAAAACATCTGGGGGAGGGGTGATCCCACAAGGCAAGATCCTAAAAACCAATCATACATTTAAAGTAGGTATTTGTTAAAATTAGAAGTAAAGTTATACAAATTAACTATTAATACAGCCCTAATTAGCCTATATTTGGTTATTAGATCTAGGTAAAACTGCACTTCAGTCGTTTTGGAGATTACTCCAATCATTGGGTGTGTGAGGGCCATATTTAGGGTCAGAGGTGCCCATCCCCCCCAAACCCAGTGGCGCAATCCCCCCCCCCCCCCAATTTATGCTGCCCTCTATTTCAATCTAACCTCCCCCCTCCTATTTACCTGGCAATTTTCTCTTTATCACATAAAACGAGCATTTCAAGTATTTAGTAAACTTGATGTAAAAAAACAAACTTGATGATAATCAAAATTAAATGTTTAATAGGAAACGTCATTTGACAATACAAAGTATTATCTAATTATTGGACGAATTATAAGTTTTTCAATTTACAATTAGAATCTGTATTGTCAGCCAACACGTAGTCAGTATTAAAATAGGCAGCGTAATCAAATCGTTCAACAATATACAACTTGGGGAATTACTCTACTCCAACACAGTACTGTAACTGTACAATATATTTAGGTGGTGTAAATTTGTATAGGGCTTAAGAATTCAAATAAATTTAAGTGCACAAATAATACTTTTGCAAAAAGTATCTTGTTTCAAAATTAGGTCACGAAATAGGGGAGACTAGGAGGTGTTGCTCGCCACTCCCAGGCTGCCTACTACAATAATTGCCGGGCAAAATACCCACAATACCATAATAGCCACCAGCACCACAAAAGGTTTTGTCACGAAGTACGGTAATCTTAAAATCTATCTTTGATAGCCCCAGGTTTGCGTTTTATGACTAATAATGGTAGTGTTTTGGCGGTTTTTTAACTACACCATCATCGGGGATCCACTTTTGGAGGTGTCGTCAGAATATGTTACCTAGACATTAGGTTAAGAAAAAACACGAAACGATAAATGATAGGCCTATCAATCCGTGCGTGTTCATTGTGTTTGTACATAAATGACATTATGTACAAAGATACTGTCCTGTACTGGCCAGTATCTTGGTACATAATGTCTATCCGTATTTTCGTGTTTTATGTGTGTGTTTTTGTGTTTACCGACGACCTCAATTTGAGTGATATTGTGATATTACATTTTTTAACAGCCTGATGATGGGATTTTAATACCGAAACCGGTCGCCTCAGACGACGACAATAGGATCACTGACGGAAAGGTAACATAAACCATTTTAGCTAATTTAGGGTTGTAACTTATAGATCTGATCATTAGGATTGATTTAAAAAATCCATCTAACTAGGCTTAAACTTGTCTGCATTTAGATTACTCGACCACTACAAGTTTACAATAAATTTTCCCGAATTAATTGAAAAAAAATTGAAAGTGAGAGACATACAATACTCATATTTAAACACGAGTCAGGTGACCTGGAGACCAAGAGTGTTGCCGCGATCATGGAAGCAGATCTTGGTATTGCCAAGAACAAGTGATAAGGTCACGAGTATTGCACGAAATGATCAGGGAATCACTGAGGTGGCAATAAGTTGGAAACTAGTGTTACCCCGATCGCAGGAAATGATCACGACGGTATCATCGATACCATCAGAACACAGGCGTTACAAAATCATGAGTGAAGATTGTCATTGTTTGCAATCAAAAAGTATTTTTTTATTTGAATATGCTAGGTAGGAAGAATCAGCGCACGGGCCTAAGATGTGGACCTCAGTACGTAGTTTGGAGATCCCAGCCGCAGAGCAAACAATTTACTGGGTACTGCATTGGCAAAGTTAATTTACATATCGGTAACAAGGGTAAAATTCATTAGAACTTAACATTTAACACTTGTCAAAACTTAAAAAAGCCTATTAAACAGACTTAAGGTTTATAGTCTAGGATACCTGAATATTCTATAAACCATGAAAATGTTTTTTTTTTATTTCATATACCTAATTTGACCGATTGAAATCTAATTTTATATGTCTTCTGACTGTTTTTTTTCACACTGAATTTGAAAACAAAAATGCAATCAGTTTTAAAATGACACCATAAAACTGTGGTACGTACATTAATCAACAATGTCCATATTTAAAACCTAAAAACAGAAGTAGCCAACCTTCGACAAACCGATTAGTTAGGAAGATATGACATTTAAGTTATTATTAATGAAACCGTGATTTTCTGGGTGAAATAGGCCAAATAATTAGAATTCTTTTTTTCAAAATTCGTTAGAAGCCTCTAAAGTAAACATATACCATTGAGTAACATAATATAATGATAGTTATATGTACCTAGGTTTAATGAATGAAACATTTATGAAATGGTAATAATTGATAGGCTATAATTTATCTAATTAGGTAACTTATATTGATTCAAAGATGTCATTCAATGTATTACATGCTTATCGATGTTTTGTTATGGTTATGGGGTCTATGATGGGATATTTAAAGAAGAGGGCCGCTTGTCACTGTTTTACAGTGCCCTGCAGCTTATAGGATAGGTTATGATTAGTGTAAGATCAGTTCAGTTTGTGATAATAAAAAAAAAAATAGGCTATTGGTAATTATTTAAAGTGACCATGTGAACCTATGTTATTGGTTAATATCACCAGAAACTAACTTAGATTTTAGCTGAAAATAATGGTGCAAAAATACTTTAGTGCTCAAAAATATTAACTGAACTACGGCCGTTAAAAGTTTTGTTTGCTTTTTTGATTCTTCTGACTATTACTAACAAATTTCCTCGCCAGAAACTTTATACTTACTGTTTGGTTACCAATTTGCGGTTAATTCTAAATGGTTTTGAGTACGGTACTAATATTATTGTACTAATATTAGACTCACAATAATAGTCAATAAATTAATTAAGGTTTAGGCCTAAGCTATTTTATTAGCATAACAATAGTTTGGGTCAATTTGGGTCATAAAAAAGGTCGTGGTTGTGATTAATATTCCAAATTTATGCAGTTATATTTGATTTCACGTTAGCTACATCTAGTTACTTTTACGAATCAGAATAAGTCCAGATATATAATTATTACTCTGTTCACTATATTTTAATTAGATCTATTAAATAGCACAAAAGCTGGGTGTGATAACTTATGCAGTTAAGGTATTAAGTTATTGTGTACTTTGACGAAGTAAGTTAGTTACCAGAAGAGATCTTTCCAGAAGAGTTTGAACAACAACAGGAAATGTGTGTGATTTTGTAGTGGTAAGAAAAAGATATATAGGGCCCAGGTATCTTCATTTACACTCATACTACTCCATTTCACCACAATGAATAATATATGATTCAAGCTTAAAATTTAGTATGAACTAGCCTAGGCTTACTTTTATTGATTGGGGCTGATGACTCTGATTTTGATTAAACATTTTCAAAATAGTAGGCCCGCCTAATTAGGTATAGGCTATTGTTGAGCGTAGCGAGCAAAGCTCTTTGAGACCAGACCTTATACAACCTAGCCTAGCCTATGTAATAAATTAACTCAATAACGGCTCAACATATTTAACTTAATCTAAACTTTCCAGGGTTATTTTGACAAACAGTGTTCATGTTATTAAACAAACAAAGTTCAATTTGATAATGTCTGTACAATTTAAAACCAACATAATGTTTCATTAACCTTTTGAGTTGCCATGATGGTTAGGGGGCCTACGAGATAACGTGGATGTAAACAAAAAATCATATAGGCCCTAACTTAACTTAGGCCTAGCATATTCTTGTTAGGTTTGGTTAGCAAACTAATATACGATCTAAATACAGCAACAAGGAAAACCACTCAAGTCCACCTTTGGTCAAAGAATACAGATAAAGTATTACAAGGCATTTGGAAACTAACACTGTATTTAAGAGGTAGGTAGGCCTACACTAAGTATCTTAACTTAGGCTACTGATTTATCTGCAATCCTAAAATGTTATGGGAAGGGAGGGAAACAGGTCCACGATGTTTAAAATGTGGTGATGGAAGTAGTAAAGGCTAGTGGTGCGGAGTGTGGGAATTACATACATGATACATGATACATGATCTCTCCGTCCGTAGTCCTTTGCCTTAAGGAATTGGACAGGTCAGGGTTAATACAAAGAATAACCAGCTTAATACTAATTTTTGTTACCGTCTAGGTAACTGTCTATGTCCTCTAAACTTAACTCTACTAGATATTTTATTTAATTCTGATTTGAATTTTGTTAAGCTCTGAATTTCAAGTAATTTTTTCGGTAGGGCCTGGTACAATTTCATTCCCATGTAATCTGGTTTGTGTTCAAATTTTGTGAGTTTATGTTGGACTGCATGTGTGCCCTTTGTTTGTGTGTTGTAAGTGTGATTTGTAAAAGTTGGTTTAATGTTCTGTGATTTTATATAGCAAACTGATTCATAGATATAAAGTGAAGGGACTGTGAGAAAGCCAAGTTCTTTATAAACATTTTTGCAGCTGGTCCGAGGCGGCATGCCCAAGATTGCTCTTACTGCCATATTCTGCCAAACAAAGATCTGGTCAATATTCTTCTTAACAGCTCCCCACAGAATGATTGAATACAAAATGTGCTGTTCTATTAGGCCAAAATACACAAGTTTAGAGAGAGCCAGGTTTCCGAAGGTTCTTATTCTTCGAAGTACAAAGACCCCTCGAGCCATAGACCCCTCCAGTTTTTTTATTTGTGCATCCCAGCTCAATTTATCGTCCAATCTCACCCCCAAAAAGTCGGCAGTTTTTGAAATTTGAATTTGATCCTCTCCAATTAATAGGTTCGGAGTCCTATTATTTTTTAAATTTTGTCTTTTTGCAGTTTGGATACACATGTATCCTGTTTTTTGTGAATTTAATTTGAGTTTGTTTGAGGAAAAAAAGTCAGCCAAATCATTTGCTCTTTGATTAGATTCTGCCTCCAGGGCCGCGTCGTCAGTTCCCCTTACGAACAACGTTGTATCATCCGCAAAGAGGTAGACGCTGTCCTGCGGAACAGTATCTGTGATGTTGTTGATGTAGACCAAGAAAAGGAGAGGTCCAAGGACAGATCCCTGGGGGACGCCATTGGAGATCAGTTTTTTTGTTGATGAAATTCTTTCAGTTTTTGAATTTGAGTTTTTTTGAATCTCAGTGACTTGGAATCGGTTGCTCATATAGGATGTGAGCCACTTCAGCGCAAGTCCTGAGATTCCAATTGATGCCAATTTTTCCAATAGAATCGCAGGTTCGACACAATCGAAGGCTTTGGAGAGATCAGCAAAACAACCAACTACCGTCTCTCCAGCCTCCATTGCGTCTATACTGCTGTTGATGAAATCAATGAGTGCCAATTTTGTTGATTTGTTGCGTCTAAAACCATATTGTCTGTCACACAATATGTTATTTTTTTCCAAGAAGTTGCTAAGTTGCTCCGAAACAACTTTCTCAATCAATTTTGAAACGACTGGTAGGAGAGAGATTGGGCGATAATTCCCCGGATCAGTTCTGTCTGACTTTTTAAAAATTGGTTTTATTTTTGCAATTTTGCAATTCTGAGGGAAAATTCCAGATGTCAGTGAAAAATTGACTATGTGGGTAAGAGGAACTGCCACTTCCTCCCTACAATATTTTAGGACATGCATACTGATTCCATCTACACCACTAGAGTGTTTAGATGGTAGCTTTGAGAACAAATCCAGAAGGTAAGCAGATGTAATCAAATGAAATTGTCCAAGTTCAGCAGTGCCATTCCTCCTAAAACCAGATAAGGCATGGGTTTCCTGATCCTTGTTAACAAGCTTCGAAACATTAACAAAATAGTCATTTAGGGTTTCACACACTTCTATAGGATTTTCTATTTTGTTACCGTCAATATTCAGTATAATATTATTACAGTCTGAATTTTCTTTTGGCCTAATGCTGTTTATAATCTTCCAAGAGTCTTTAGATTTATTTTTTGAGCTGGATATGCAATCGTGTGCCCATTTTATTTTACTTTCCTGTATTTTGCTTTTATATTTATCTTTAAGCTTTAGGTATAATTCTTTGTCAGATATCATTCCTGTCAGCCTCCATACAGAGGATTGTTGGAACATTTTTTCCTTTGCAGCTATTATCTCATTGTTCATCCATTTGTTTTTTCCTTTGCGACTGAGATTAAGTTTTGTTTTTTTATTCGGGCAGCTGATATCAAAATAATATTTGAATGTTTCTATAAAGCTATCATATTTGGTATTAATATCAGGAGCATCATATACTGAGTTCCAGTCCTCTGACTGTAGCCTTATTTTAAGTTCATGAAGATTTTCATCAGTAATTATTCTTTTTTCTAAGGTTTTATTTTGGTTTGAGATACTATTTTGGTTTGAGATAATTTCAGGTAGGCTTATTTCTATTGAGAAGCACAGTGGTCTGAAATATGGGGTTCTTTTACTGCTGCTGATAATATTTCAAAGTTGGTTAAAAAATTGTCTATGCATGTGCTGGTTGTGTCTGTAATTCTAGTTGGTTCAAAAATGTTTGGTTTCATATCAAAACTTTTAATCAGAGTTGCAAATCTGTGGTAAGTGTTGTCATCCTTGATCAAGTCGATATTGAAATCTGAGCCTATTACTATATATTTATTCTTAATGTTCAGTTTAAGTAGATATTCATTTAATTTGCTAAAGTATTCATCAAGGTTGCTGCTGTATGGAGACCTGTACATGGAAGCTACTACAAACTGTTTATTTCTCACAGAAAAACTTATTTCAGCACACTCAAAAATTGTTTCTTTTGAAGAAGTTATTCCTATGTCTGTGGACTTAAGGCTATCGAGTTTTATGGAATTTTTATTTTTGAAAATTGCTACACCACCCATATTTTTATACTCTCTGCCATAACCAGCAATAAATTAAAAGTTTTCTATTCTTAATTCTGATACGGTAGGCTATTTTGGTCTAGACCATGTTCATTAATCTTACTAATATTATAAATGTGAAAGTTTGTGTGTTTGTTTGTTTGTTTGAAGTTCAATCACGCATTAATTACTGGACGGATTGGGCTGAAATTTGGCATGATGATAGCTTACATTCCCGATTAACATATAGGCATATTCTTATCTTAAAACTCCTTTCGGGCTCTGCCCCAGTGGCTCTAGAGTTTCCCATGTTAACCTTATGAGTACTCATATTTAAATGGAATTAAAGAATTTAGTCAACTGTTGCAACTAAAATTGTTAGTTCTATGGTATGCAAAAGCATTAAAAGTTATAAGATTTACCAACAGGGCGCAGCCCAATTTTTTTTAATTTATGAAACAGCTAAATTGAATTAAGCAGCAACAAAAAACTGTGATACCCAATGAGAGCCTTCTGTTTACAGTTTTGTTTATATTTTTAATTTCACGAATAATTTGTGATATTTTGTGAATCTTTAATAATTAATGTTTTTCTATAGTTTGGGTGAAGTGGTAAAACATTATAGCTATGGTAGGCCTAGATGTGTAATACTATAGTATACCGTAAATTTAAAGAAGCAAATTTTTATAATATTGTGTCCTCCCCCATTGCAAACGCAAATGTTGAGTATAACTATACTAAGCATTTTGTACTTATATGCCGATTCCGTACGAAGGACGGGTGCTCTGCTAGTAAGAAATAAATCTGGGTTTTCTGATTCTAAAAAATGTTCGATTTGTTCAATTTTATTTGTCATTCCCCCGTATTGTCATTGGCAGTTAGATTAATGTATATAAAAGGGTAGACTTCCATATCTGTTGGCACAAACAACAGAATGAAAATATCGATTAGTTGATTCTTTCATTCAATATTACCTATAAGTTATCGTTCAAACAATAAGATCGATTAATCGATATATCAATCGATATTTTCATTCGGTTGTTTGTGACAACAGATAAGTTACAAAAGTCTACCCATGTAACTTAAAATAGGTAGCCTACTAAAATGCTAAGGGAGGTGTGGAAAACAGGTCCACGACGTGGGAAGTGGTGAAGGAAGTAGAAAAGATGGGCAGTGCGGACTGTGGAAACCGTCTGTGGCAGTTAGATTAATGTAGGCTTAAGATATCTGCAATCCTAAAATGCTATGGAAAGGAATGAAAACAGGTCCACGTAGGAAGTGGTGAAGGAAGCATAGGCATAGGCGAAGGAAGGTTGGGTAATCCCCACTAAAGCTAGCCTGTGTGATTTCGGTGCATCTCAGTCAAGGTCTAGGCCTAGGCCTACCTCAAAGACTCAACTTAGTGGACTAGGCCTTTACAATAGGCAGGCTAAACTTAGTTATTATCTAAGTTACTTAATTTTAAATTAGGCCATTATCATTCACCAGACTTGATACCCTTGCGTAGGCCTATGTCTTTGACATAGGTTGGGCGTTAAATAATTATTATTTCTTCATTTCTTGGGTCCACTTTAAGTTCGTGACAATGAAATCTGACTTGTAACCAAATGAATATCATTACCTTTTCGAAGAATCCAATAAAACGCCTTGAAATAATTTGTTCTCTAATGCATAAGTAACTACTAACACATCTTGAAGTGCTTCTTCAACATTAACAACGATTTTTGAATTTTTTAATATTTTTATTCCACTGAAGGTCTCATTGTCAGCCATATTTCTAAGTTACTCCACCTCCACCACCAGCCATATCATATCACTTTTTCGTATCAACATCACCTCACCTTTCTCCATTCCATACTCCGATCCAATCCAATACCAATACTGTACTCCAATTCCAACTCCACTCCAATCGAATACTCCACGACTCCACTCTTGACTATGCTCTTGACTCTTGCTCCACTCCATAGACCTACACACCCCAAAGCACAATTTGTTTTTCAGGATTAATTTTGCCAACAGTGTCATTTAGAGGCTTCTGACTATAACGAAGGTTTAGTAATTGAAAAATTATTTTTGTTCATAGAATAAAATTATAAATGCCTCAAATTCAATTTTATATTTTTTTATTATGAAATTAAACGGTCATAACCTAACCTAACCAACCAAACGTGCTGACAATGAAAAAATCTAATGAAGGTTTATTAATCGAAAAAATAGTTCTGTTCATAAAATAAAATTGTAAATGCCTCAAATCCTATTTTATAATTTTTTTATTCTAAAATTAAACTATAATAACCTAACCAAACTAACCAGACTTGCTTATAATGAAAAATCAAATGAAGGTTTAACCGAAAAAAATCTGTTCATAAAACTATAAATGGGTCAAATTCAATTTCATAATGTTTTAATTATAAAATTAAACCATCATAACCTAACCAAACCAACCAAACTTGTTGATAATGAAAAAAATGCAATACAAAAAAATAGTGCTACGGGTGGGCTTCGAACCCGGGTCCTTCGGATCATCAGCCCAGCGCTCTATCCACTACACCACCGAGGCCGATGGCATCAACCGTATCGTCGCGGTAATGATGTTCCCTCAGCCAATCAGAAGCCTCAATATAATACTGTAGGCAACACTTATCCTGAAATAAAAATTCAGCCACCCCAAATGCCAAATACCAGTTAGGGGTTGTTTATTTAGTAACGGGGGCGGCACAATTTTTTTATTAATGATTCCTGTGAGCACACTTTCAGCCCTGTGTTTGGTATGGTTTATAGATCTGTAGCTGAAATGGGCGGGCCAGCCGTGATTCTGGCCCGCCCAAATACAATTGATTATATCACAATAATTATAAGAGCATGTTTTTTTTAATAGCCGTTATAAAGAGCACACTTTTTGTTTACATTTAAAAAAAGTGTGCTGGAATGGGCGGGCCAGCTTCACGTCACTAGATTTATGTTTACTTACTTACTCCTTCTTCATCTTTTACCCAAAATAGGGATAGATTGCGTCTCGTCAAAAAAATCAAACATTTCTTTTACACGCACAAAATATTTAAAAAAAATACTTCATAACGTGTACAACAGTTCAAGGTAAGCGACATAAGCTTGTCCTTGAAATAACCTTTTTTCCAGTTCCTAATGGCCATCGGCAGTTTGTTGAAGAACTTTAGACCCTGAATTTGATATGTAGCAGCTGTCCCTAGTAGCACCAAAACTTTTTAAAAATTTTTCAAATTGGGTTTTTAAAAACTTTTAAAAATATTGATAAATGTTTTTAAAAGTTTACTAAAACCTTTTAAAAACTGGTAATTACACCCTTTTTATTGTTCAAACAGCTTTTTAAAAACATTTTAAAAAGTTTTTTAAAATATTGTTTAAAATATTACCAAAAAAATGTTTTATTAAATGTTGCAATATTTTTTTTAAAGTTTTCAAAATATTACTCAAAATGTTATAAAAAACATTTTGAAAATTAGTCAAAAATATTTTCAAATTATTATTTAAAATGAAGAAAGCCTAACGCAGGGAACATCCAGCATGTTTCTCTCCCTGGTGTTGTAGGAATGGACCATGGTACGGGATGATAAAACATACTCTTTAGTAGATTTCCCATCCTTATGGAACAGCTGAAGCCAATTTTATTGTTGGTCAAACGAGGTTTAAAATTACTGAAATAGCAAGAAACGAATTGGAAACAAAACACGACTCTACAGTACACCCACAGAGCAATTCTATGCTCTGCGAGTACACCGGACAGAGCTAACAATAAAACTGGCTTCAGCTGTTCCATAAGGATGGGAAATCTACTAACGAGTATGTTTTATCTATGATATTACTCTCCGCTCTCCGCTACTCCGATGACGCTAAAATCATAGATAAAACCTACTGCCTTATGTTCATGTTGGGCTGGTTAGTCTATATGCTTTACTTTACTTTATTATGAAATGGCGACCATACGAATTTTACACGTATTATAAGGCAAGTATGAATGGAGATTCGTGGCGGTGGCACGATGTTTTACCATCAACAATTTTTACTAAATGAAGTTGTTTTTATACTAAATATAGGCATAACATAAATAATCCTTTGTACGAATTCCGTCATGGCCGGGCCAGTGGTAGTGATATGTAGATAGGATTATTCCTATCTACAAGTCTAAAGTTTACTCGTGGCTGTTAGAAAATCCATTTTACACTCTTCAAGAATTCTTGGATTCGACTGTTCTAATCTAGCCTTTAGATTAAGCCTTTTTTACTCTGTTACTTTGTATTATCGACCAATGTAAATAGTTTGCCTAATTTGACAATGCCTATCTCAATGTATTTGATCAACGGCAATAAAGATTCTGATTCTGACGTCTGCCGAAGCCAATCCAGTCTGGGTTTAGATTTACTCAGCTTGCATACACGAGCTATAAAAAATTAGTTGATTATAATTAGATAATACAATACAAAATTATCTATATACCGGGTGTTTTTTTTTTTAAACTTGCATCTTTATTTATGTAAAAACCGCAATAGATAGAAATATGCAGTTTGCGGGAATCATCTATTGACGTAGGGGGCCCAATTTTTTTTTAATTCAACCATGATTCAACGTTACATTCACATTCCCTCCCTTTCCCCCTGCCACCAACTTAATTTTTTTAAATAGCAAGGTACCCTTTGTGACATATCAAATGAAAGAGCATGAAAAAATAAAATGTTTGATGAAAAAAAATTGAAAAATCTCTTCATAAATTTGTGAGATATTCCCCCTCCCTCCCCGAACTTAATTTTTTTTAATAGCAAGGTACCCCTTGTGACATATCAAATGAAAGAGCATGAAAAAAGAAAATGTTTGGTGAAAAAAAATGGAAAATCGGCTCATGAATTTGTGAGATAATCCCCCCCCTTTTACTCTACCCATAACCTTTTTTTTAATAGCAAGGTACCCCTTGTGACATATAAAAATGAAAAATAAATTTCACCAAACATTTTCTTTTTTCCTGCTCTTTCATTTGATATGTCACAAGGGGTACCTTGCTATTAAAAAAAATAAGTTCCGGGGAGGGAGGGGGGGAGTATCTCACAAATTTATGAACCGATTTTCAATTTCTTTTCATCAAACATTTTCTCTTTTAATGCTCTTTCATTTGATATATCACAAGGGGTACCTTGCTATTTAAAAAAATTAAGTTGGGGGCAAGGGGGAAAGGGGGGGAATGTGAATGTAAAGTTGAAATCAAAATAATTGGGCCCCCTACATCAATAGATGATTCCCGCAAACTTCATATTTCTGTCTATTGCAGTTTTTACATAAATAAAGATGCAATTTTAAAAAAAAACGCCCTGTAAAATCCAATGTATGTTTGTTTTATGTTTGGTTGTTGTCCTTTATGGACTCCGAAACCGCTTTGACAGATTGTAATGAAACTTTCAGGCATTATTAAGCATTATTCAAGCATGGTTTGTGTGAAGTTTGGTGCAGATCCGCCAAAAGGGCTCCGCCCCAGTGGCTCAGGAGTTTACCATGTTAACCTTATGAGTATATCGATATTTAAATGGAATTAAATAATCCTAACCGCTAGTTTAACTAAACAATTTGATTCTGTGATAATCAATAGCATCAAAAAGTTAATAGGTTTACCAACAGGGTGCAGCACTATTATTTTTTACTTTCTCCCCCTATACCATAGTATATGGAGAAAGTATTGTTTTCGTCAAAATTGTCGAGTTTGAGTTTTGAGTGGATATATTCGTTTTGGGCCCCCCTGGACCCAAAAGAGTGGTTTTCGAAGTGTTGTCTGTGTGTGTGTGTGTGTGTGTGTGTGTGTGTGTGTGTGTGTGTGTGTGTGTGTGTGTGTGTCTGTGTGTCCGTGTGTCAGTGTGTCTGTGTGTCTGGATGTGTACAGAGCTAGAGACTACACTTGTGGTCCGATTTCGATGAAATTTGGTACGGTATGTAGGTTCTAATCCATGGTATCTCCAGGTGTTTTTTTTCATTTTTTTGAAATTTTGACTTTTAATGGGGATTTACCCATAAAAACCCATAAAAAACCGGAAAAATCTGATTTTCTAAAAAATGGCCCGAACGATTTTGATAAAAATTTAATATGTTGTAGCTCTTTAAATTCTGAACAAAATGGTACAAATCCCATTTCTGTAAAAATTACGGTTCAAAAGTTATGGTAAATTATGTTATTTTCCCATAAAAACCCCATAAAATAATGAAAAATAGGATTTTAGACAAAAATCCGGTTTTTATTTGACATAGTATGTTATGGTCCTTACAATTTTGATAGTTTTTTTTTCATTTTTTTTCATTTTTTATTTTTAATGGGTATTTTCCCATATAACACCATAAAATAACGGAAAAATAAGATTTTCCCAAAAATGGCCCGAACGATTTTGATAAAAATTTAGTATGTTATAGTCTTTTATATTCTGAACAGAATGGTACAAATCCCATCTCTGTAACAATTACGGTTCAAAAGTTATTGTAAATTATGTTATTTTCCCATAAAACCCCCATAAAATAACAGAAAATCACATTTTCAAAAATTGGCTCGAACGATTTTGATAAATATTTAGTATGTTATAGTCCTTTAAATTCTGAAGAAAATCTTACAAATCCCATTTCCGTATATTTACTCTCACCGCTTACACATGATAAAGGTGGTTGACAAACTTATGGGAGAAAGTATGTGTCAGAATGCTTTTTTTTCTTTTTTTTTATTTATTTATTTACTTTACAATCTGTTCTATTATATACGGAACAATAAGTAAATACTATGTAATACGAAAAATTGACTTTGGAACATTAAAAATAGCTGTTAAGCACTCTCAACAACAAATTTTTCAATAAAAACACTACAAAAATCTGTAGGGCAGGTCCAGAATTGATGGCCTCTTAAGCCTGTAAATTGTATCCATGTTGTTTAATAAGTTAAGAGCTAAATGATTTTGATGAGATTCCAATTTCGTAATATATCGTTCACTCATGGTCATGATTTCGTCCTTAACTGTAGGCATCTTAAGGTCTTGATATAGTGTTCTATTGCTGACATACCATGGTGCATTTGTTATCTTCCTCAGCATTGTCGATTGGTATCTTTGGAGAATTTCTATATTAGAAGTACTCGCTGAGCCCCATAGTTGAACTCCATATGTCCAGATTGGTGTCAATATAGTTTTATACAGCAACAATTTATTTTCTAGACTAAGTTTTTGATTTTCTTCCGATGAGCCAATTTAACTGATTAGATTTTAAATTTAGTTGTTGCCGTTTTCTCCAAATGTGTGTTTTCCAAGTTAACTTCCTATCTAAATGGATACCTAAGTATTTAACCTCAGTTACTTCGGGAAGTTGGGTGTTGTTTATTGTGACAGGAGGACAAGAATTTTGATTTAGAGTAAAAGAAATGTGGACAGATTTAGTTTCATTAATTTTGAACCTCCATGTCTTAAACCAATCAGTAATTATGTTCAGATTTTGCTGTAAATTTAGAGAAGCTTGAAATGGATCATGATGAACAGACAAAACCGCAGTATCATCCGCAAATGTAGCAATTTCTACCAACTCATTTTCTGGGAGATCTGCTGTGTAGAGAATATACAAAAACGGCCCGAGGACACTTCCTTGAGGAATCCCAGATTCAATTGGACGTAGGTTAGTGAGGACGTCTTGATATTTAATTTGGAAAGTCCTGTTTTGAAGGTAGGATTTTAAAATGCTATAAATTGAATGGGATAAAAACTTTTTTACTTTATATAACAAGCCAACATGCCACACCTTATCGAATGCCTGGCTAACATCCAAGAAGGCAGCTGAACAAAACTTTTTATCTTCCATACATTGACGTATCACGTCAACAACTCGGTGAACCTGTTCAATGGTACTGTGTTTCCGTCTGAAACCAAACTGATGTGCAGGAATCACATCTTCGCCAATAAGTTCTTGTATTCTTTTCAGAAGAAGTTTTTCAAATAACTTAGACATTATTGGTAAAAGACTTATGGGTCGGTAAGAACTTACCTGGTCAAGAGGCTTCCCAGGTTTCGGAATGACTATCAATTGTGCTCTTTTGAAATGATCTGGTACATATTCAAGTTTTAACATTGTATTAAATAAAATAGTCAAATCATTATTCCTTTTCGTGGGAGCTCTTTAAGTATTTTACCAGTTACGAGGTCGTAACCTGGAGCCTTGTCAGAATGAAGATTGTTGGTGATGATTGATTTTAGTTCTGATGGTTTGAACTTCTGCAATGGGAAGTCAAGTTGTAGCGGAGCATCCAAATATTCAAGTATCTCTTCCTCGTTGTTTACTGCCGCATTTGGTTTGAACACATTCTCAAAGTATTGAGCAAAGGCTTCAGACTTCTCTGTGTTACATTTTGCCCAGCTCCCATCAGATTTTAAAATAGGCGAAATTCGAATCTTTGGGCGCTTCATTCGCTTCGTAGCTTTCCAGAATGCTGATACCGTTTATTTAAATTTATGACAACAGCTAATTTGCAACCAAAAGGTGAGTGAGTTTAGCGAACGAACTTCAACCTGGAGGCGAATTAGCGTAGCGAACGAGCTAACCTGAAGGCAAGTGAGCGCAGCGAACGAGCTCCAACCAGGACGTGATTGAGCCATGCAAACGAGCTCATCTTGAAAATGAACGAGCATTGACATAACACCACATTAGGGCAGGACGACGTCTCGACGTCTGTCGGGCCAGCTCATGGTGGAAGGAAAAAACATAGGTGTGCTATTCCAGTCATATTCTGACGTCACTCGGATTGCAAACAAAAGATCACCTGATTGTAAATGTCAAATTGTCATGTATTTGTTTTTATTTGATTGTTATTGTTTTTATAATAATAAAAACAATAACAACCAAATCAAAACAAATACATATACTAATTTGACAGTTACAATCAGGTGATCTTTTGTTTGCAATCCGAGTGACGTCAGAATATGACGGGAATAGCACACCTATGTTTTTTCCTTCCACCATGGGGCCAGCTCAGCTAGTAATAAATATTTTAAAGTTATGATTTTAACAAAATTATGATTTGTTGTGATATAGCTAATAGGCTATACAGTATCGCCGTAGTTTAATACTCAATGAATTAAATTACATACTTGTCTGAGGAATTGGTTTTAGGATACTTTGCGATTGCAGCCCCACCCACTTTCAATTATCATTTGCCTTCCTTCACTTCACACAAAACGAAAACGACTATTGTATTGGGTCAAACCCAAACCGCAGCCTTTGAACTGCTAATACCGCATCTATTAGTGTTATCATAGCATAGAATAATAATAACACTCAAGTACTAGGATTAATCAACCATGCTATCCACCATCTTCACTGTGTTTATTAATCGTTCCAATGTAGACCTTAATTTTTACACATAAAAAAAAATTGTTGAAATGAAATTCGGGGTTAATTTTGTTTTAACTATCGAACAAGTCCAACAAGAGCCTTATTTTTGTGAAATGCAGGCTGAAATATTTTTTTTAGATTTTAGTTCTACCTTTTGTCATGTTTGCAGAATGCGCCAGGTTCGATCGTCTAAGTTAAGGCGAGAAAATGGCGGAGGAACAGGTGAGTCGGTAAACAAAGTTTATTTATGCTATATATGGATTATTTGTCCCACAATTAGGTTTCTAAGGTACTTTTAACACAATCAGCAGCATATTTGACCTCAAATTTGTAATTCGTCAGACACAGTCTTGTATATCGGTTTTATTACACGATCTTTCGAGACTACCCCAAAGTCGAAGCCAATGTTTTGCCGGGATAATACAACATGCCGATTTAAAATAATAACAAGGAAATATATGGGGTGTTTAACAATTTTGTAAATTGTATAACCTGTCCTACTCCATCATTTTGTCAAAATAGTGGTGATCCCCTCTGTGGTGAAGCACACTGTCATTAAATTACCTAAGCCTATCATGTCGGCTAATGTAATAATGAGATAGGCCTAGGCTAGATATGAAAGTTAATAATTGGGCCTGGGCCTAGGGTTCAGCTTATCCTCATTTAATTAATACTAAAATTTTACCACATGTTATACTGTGCATAGTAATACCTATAGGCTAACTGAATATTGGATATGAAGTTAATTAAGACTAGGCTACTGCTTACTTGCAGTTCTGGGTACTTAGACCTAGGCCTAGTACTTGAAGTCCCCAGCCTTCGTAACATTTCCTATTCCTTTAAAGTGATAATGCAGTTTCAAGTAAATTAACACTCTAATGTTCTTGTGTATCAAAATGATAGTTTGAGGTACTAAACTCTTGACTGCCCACCACCATTGAACCAGTGGCAACTAGCCCATTTAAGGACTCTCAGACACCGCCCTCTCAACAATACATGAATAAATGTAATATTCTTCCGTTACATTAAATTAAAATTAGGCCTACTTTAACGAGAACTTTGAACAATATAGGCTAGGTACAACATAAATATATTAAATAATTGGATAATTCAATTTAGTAAAGACTCATTTTTGATCATTGCTTGCTTAGTAAGCACGGCGCAGACGACGGCCAGACCATCTCAATCCCAAAACATGTACTTAGTCTTATGGCAGAACAAACGAAGAGCGCTGAGTGTGCCATGACGTCATTACAATGCTTTAGTAAGTTTTAGGTGCTTTGGGGCAGAGTCCAAAGTTGCGCGCACACTCTTAAATCAGGGCAGCCTCTACAATCTGGATATTCTGTATTTCAAGCTACCATTATGGGTAGAACCGATGTTGGCACACCTGTTTGTCATAACTCAAACCATCTAGGCCTAGTAGGCCTATCTAGGCTATGTAATTTCTAAAACTAGAAAACAACTGAGCTAACCTTGAAATGTTATTTTGGTTTGCTGTTGTTGTTGAGTGATTAATGAATAGTGATGTAGGAGTACTGTTCATGCGTGTATTTAGGCCTACTAACTAAAAACTTGTGTAATATACTACGGTAACTGTATTAAACTTTATTAAATTTAAATCACAGCCAGTTTAGTTTTAATGGAATACATTTAGGCCCTGCATTTCTGGTTAATTAATATTAACTTATTGAATTACAATAGGTTTTTAGGTTACCGGTATAAGCCTAAATACAATTTGTTTTCGTAAGCTGTTTTAACTTATTAAAATCCATGTTTTAGCCCCTGAGCTGTATAATAACTAAAAATAGGCTTTACCTTCGTCACTGCAGCTCAAATTCTTGTGGTGTAACTATGTTACGGCCGTTTCGGCATTACAATGCCATCGTCAGACTACAAAAACACAAACTCGGCTGAAGTAGCGTCGTTGAAGTTTAAACACATAACACATACGAACAATAATATACATTTAAAATATTTACAAAAACCGAACAGGCCTGTCGTACTAACGGGTGACATGTTCCCGTTCCGAGCAAAAACCGACTGGAAGATTTCTATGTCGAGCCCAGTGTGGTGGCGTTATCAGTTGAACTTTGTACTCCTGGCTTCTTGTTCCTTTTCTGATTTAAAATGCTATTGAATATGAAGTGTGACTTGTACTGTAGTTTGTCGTTTAAAATTATATCGTCCAAATTATTTTTGGTGTAAGCTTTGTAAATTTCATACTCTTCTAGGGTGTCCAGTCTATTGCCTTTCTTACTTGTGTGGAGTATTTCTAAGCCAGTGTTCAGATCGTTCATGTCGTGATTTTTGTCAACCAAACGATGACTTTTGTTTGTCGGCTCTAGGAAATGGATGGTGCTCTTTGTATCTGGTTTTGAATGAACGTCCAGTCTTTCCTATGTAGTAGCTCGGGCAACTTGCACAATTAATCTTATACACACCCGACTTTTCACCTTTATCAATTAGGCTACGCCACTTGAAACATTCAATTTGTTAATTGTTTTGTTGTTAGTCCTAAAAGTCAATTGAATGTCGTGTTTCTTCAGCTCCTTCGTGAGCGTGTGTTGAATGGAATGGGAGTATTCCACACATACATACTTTTTCTTTTCCTTTTGTAGATTATTATCTCCTGGCCTTTTGTTTTTCTTTTTAGCTATCAGTCTATCAATCATGTTACTTTTATAACCATTAGCTATGGCTATATGTTTAATTATATTAAGTTCTTTATTATAATTGTTGTCCGACAACGGTACATTCAACAACCTATACACCATACTGTTGTAAGCGGCAAACTTTTGTGATGGCGGATGATAAGACGTGTTGTGGACGTTAGTACGACAGGCCTGTTCGGTTTTTGTAAATATTTTAAATGTATATTATTGTTCGTATGTGTTACGTGTTTAAACTTCAACGACGCTACTTCAGCCGAGTTTGTGTTTTTGTAGTTTGACGATGGCATTGTAATGCCGAAACGGCCGTAACATAGTTACACCACAAGAATTTGAGCTGCAGTGACGAAGGTAAAGCCTATTTTTAGCTGTTTTACCTATTTGGCTTTCTATTCCTTATTACCTTAAATATTTTATGGAATATTATCATTATTTTGTTAATGTGATTTTCAGGACAGACCCATTTGCAGACACTGATGTTGTTAAGTTAAATACAATAGCAACCTTGGAAACAAGTTTAAATAAATAAATAAATATAATATACTAGCTGTACCCGCGGGCTTTGCCCCGCTTAACTTCATAAGTATTCGCATGGCTCAATCACGTCCTGGTTGAAGTTCGTTCGCTACTCTCACTCACCTTCAGGTTGGAAATCGTTCGCTGCGCTCACTTGTTTTCAGGTTAGCTCGTTCGCTACGCTTACTCGCCTCCAGGTTGATGTTCGTTCGCTACGCTCACTCACCTTTTGGTTGCAAATTAGCTGTTGTCATAAATTTAAAAAGTCATCCCTTTTATTGTTTATAATACAGTACTTTTATACAAGTTTTTATGTTTTAATATTTAACATTGGAGAATTTAAACGTTGTTAAGTGCACAGGTGTGCTGCGATTGGGGTTTAATACATTTGGACTTATTCAAAAGTAAAATAGTTTTCTGTGCTGCACTCTGTAGAAACACTGTGGCACTATTTCAAATCATGACTAATGCTAATACAGAATGTTGTGATTATTCAAACCTACAAAACAGTTGGTGAAAGTAAACATCTGCTTTTAAATTATATTTATTTGTAAACAATGTAGATAAAAAAGTCTGACATTGGCCCACTTAAAACCCTCTGGGACAGAGCCCTTTTGACGGATCTGCACCAAACTTCACTCGAACCATCTTTGCAAGATGCTTAATAATGCCTGAAAGTTTCATTACAATCTGTTGAGCGGTTTCGGAGTCCATAACGTATATACACACACACACACACACATACATACATACATACATAGTTCCTCTTTTATAGATATAGATATCGTAGGCTAGGCCTATTTGTGTTTGTATTACAAATTTGAGCCTTAAAATCTTTCAATTCTTTGACAAACGTGATTGATGTTAAGGCTTTTGTTTACATATGAAAATATGCAGAGCTCTTCCACCACCTATGAACACTAGCTGCTACTGCATCTAACTAAGTAAGCTAGCCAGCCCAAAGTTGTATAGGAATAGGGTTCCCAGGGACCCACCATCAAAAAAGAGGACAAAATTACTCACCAAGGGCGGTCCTAGACATATATTTGGGGGGGGGTCACCGGGGGGCCTGGGGGGGAAAATTTTTTGAAATAACGTGCTAAAATTTTAGCTATTTTGAGGACCTAGTTTAATGTGTTCAAGCTTCCCAGTTTATTTTTTAAAGGTCAAAAAAATTTTGTAAAATAAACTTGTGCTCGTATGATGCCATTTTTTTTTATTATTGAGACTTGTGGTTTTAATATCAAAGGAATACCGCAACATTACAACACATTCAAGCATGTTTGATTTACAAAAACACACTTTTAACTGGTGCCAATGTGCATGCTAAACAGAAATTGTCCAAAATCAGACCATGATTTTGAACCAGAGAACTTATTTTATCTAAGAAGTGTTTATGAACTAGCACCCAACACGACTGAATTATACCTGCATAGCAAGCAACAGTTAACCTACACAAAGTACACTACCCAACTAACGATGTCGACGGCGTCGTCACTGCTACCGCCTGAATAGTTGGTGCTCAGTGTTTTATTTTTTTTACTACGCCAGTGGCAATTTACAAGGGGTCAATGTGAGAATAAAGTTTTTGTGTAACTTTTTTGTGGTTGTGAGTGGTTGTGCCGGAAATTAAATCCGTCCCTTCCGCATCAAAGTGTGAGACACTAGGTACCATTTTGTTAAGTAGGCCTACGTAAAGTAAGCAGACGAAGAGCTAGTCACTGTTCGACGGTCGCTAGTATGCTACACGGTCGCTTGTACTGGCCTGGCAAACTGGCTACTAGTGAGCAGAGTTATTCAGTTTACAATCAGCCAGCAGAGTCAGGCAAAGCAGGGAAACCATTGTTCGCCTGCCGTTCCGTTTGGTTCTACAGTATTTCCAATGGTTTCTAGCGTATGTTATACACGTAATTTGACCTAAAGAAAGAGAAATGACACTTTTATACGTAAGATATTATTAAAGTGTAGTATTTTATCTTAGTTTAATGTTATGATGACGATATCTTATAAAAGCTGATTGCTAATATTAATACT